TGGGAGTTTCTAGTATCCAATTATGAGTGAGAAAATTAGAAGAAAAAAAATGTATAGGTGAGAATCGTGGAAACAAATCATACTTGAATAAACTGAATCCAAAACAATTCTGTCTTATTGCCAAGACACATACAATCATGGAGAAACACACTCACAAAAACTAAAAATGTGTTCGCACGCTCATGATGTATATTTATGACAAATAAAGTCAGTTGATTATATTGTGAATGTGCTTTGTGTTGACCATAGAGAGTACATATGTTGCCAATATGGACAGCTCTTACAAGGTGGAGATATAATTCAACCACTACAATTGAATTACAAAGAATAAACATGCGGTCCTCCACTTCATCAGCATTTTAAACATGAAACAAAAAAACATGAAGTAGCGAGTATTTTGTTCATAAATAAGTACATGTGTGTTTTAACCCTTCATACTCCTTATCAATTTTATAAAAAAAAAAACTACAGTGATGGAAGCCGGCTCTCCCGGGTATATTTTGTTAACTTCTATATTCCATTGTCTTGGCAACATTGGCTTAATTTAAACGCAGTTTGATTGCAGTGAAGTGATTGCTTTATGGTTCGATGGCTGCAGGAATTAGCAGTTTGTACAGAATTAGTAGCGACCATTTCGAGGCAATCAGAACTGATATATAACCTTTAAACTTACCCACCATTTTGATAATTATTTGTTTGTTTGTTTGTTGCGTTAGGTCTCTGCTTCGTGAATGTATTTTTATCGTACGTGATCACGTTCTTCACAGTTGAATGGAGGAAATAATCAATGATATTTATTTAGTTTATTATTCAGTGCTTTCAATTGTGGCAGCCATGAAGATGTACATCTTTTCTGATCGTTACATTATTGTAACGTGACATAATAAATGGTTCATTTGAGGGAAATATTCACAAACTCCGTGTAATGTATATTAATTCAAATATATGTATGTTCTTTTTGAGGCCGTCAGTTAGCACGACGTATTGTATTTTTTAATTGGACGAGGATTGTGTTTCAATCCGTTACACATGGCAATTGTTTACAGAGAAAACTGCCGTTTACATGTAATCAAGGCACGTCCTTGTTGCTTTCTACTCAAATTTCATGGATCGTTTGGTTATCATACATTGCGGACAAGTTCAAATGCGCATGTGCGTACTGGACCATTTTCAGTGTAGGAGAAACACGATCGATCGCCCACCTGTTGGATACTGACCCAGTTTGACAATGTATGGTTTTTCCACAGCTATATAATTTTATTATCAATTTTTGTATTAACAATGACGTATTTGTTCAGTGTACGCCGTGTAATCATATTGTAACAAGGTAGCCCAGGCTCGGATTGGCAAGGCTGACGGTGGTATTAGCAAAACTCGCTAAATCTACCAGTATTGTAGCCTAAAAAGTATCAGACTTTCCCAAATCTGAGTTTTTAACGCAGTTTATACTTGCTTTGTGACTTTACGTACAAGGTTCACTGACACCCCCCCCCACCTCCTTCAGATAAAATAAAAACTGTGTGATTTTACTTTATTGAGCCGCTGATAGCTACCATGATTGATGCCATTCAGTTACGTGATGATTGGGGGTACTTCCCTTAAAACTTTTACGAACTGCTGCATCTATTTCTAGATTTCTAGTCTGCCGACGTCATGAATCTATGTTTTTATGTTTTCACGTCAACGATTATTACGAGATTCATAGTTTATTTTGGGAAACAGGGGCAAATTTAATGCATTATGCTAATTTTTCCCTGTGAGTGTGTGAAATATATTCAATTTAAAAATAGATTTGTTTTCGCCGCAAGCGCAGACAACGTTATGACGTCAGAGCTAGTCTCAGAGGTTGCCAATGACGCTGTACGCACGAAATTGTATACATATCTCGTGCCCATTGCCGTCATTGTCCTTTCTGTCTATTCCATGATTACAATCAGTGTTTTATATCGCGTTCGCGTGTTTCAAATAACTAAATCATTGTGGCTCCTTGAAAATACTAGAGCGTAGTTTGTGAGAAAGCTTCGCAAATAACATCATCTAGCGTAAATTTCAGGTCGTCTTTGGTCAGATTTCCGGTCGATCGTGGCGTATTCGGGAATGGTGTAATTTTTACCATCGATTTCCAACAAATAAGAGACACATGTAAATTGTACAAGAACCAG